TGCAAGCATTGAGTCTTTCAAACTGAGGCTCGATGAAACACTAGCACATCTTACGTCCCAACATAAGTGAAGCTGCGTGCAGCAGTGGAAAAAGCCTGTATTACGTGACAGTTTATAAAAAGATTTGTATGTATCACTGTTTCTTACTCCACCGCACGAACCTATGGCACCAAAAAAGCATGAGCTTGTAAGTTATTCCCATAATAAATCTTTGAATCTTTAGATTAAACAGAAAAACGCTGACTAGATAAAATGACGTACAAACGCAGTCAAACAATTATTTATTTTTTTCTCACATCCTCCTTTATATGATTTGGCATTTATTTGATACAAAACCGTAGTCAGGAGTAAATGCACCTGGTCCCACATTTAACCTAGAGTTCCATTATAAAATTTCATTATATTTTACAATTTCCGAATGGATAACAATGTAAACCTCTCCTGATTCCATTATCCGGTCCCCGCTGGGGAGCCTATGGGCTACCATCGACGCTATTTTGTCAGACAACTTTGGTGCCGTTGGTTGAGCATTTAAATGTTCCCGGGATAGATTATTTGTGGATTTCATTGCCAGCGTCTATCTGTCTTGATTGTTTGCTTCAAATTGACCAAGTGCATGTTGTTGTTCAGGCATGAAAAATGAAATGGAATTTCATTATTTTATGACCATCCGTTCACTGCTACAGTTATGCCCCAAGTGATTAATTCCATAGAATTTCTGAAGCAGTTAGCCCTGGGGATATGAATTGTATAAAAAAAACGAATTCGGAATTTGCTATCAATCGTACAACGAGGTATCGACACCAGTGTGACTACGGTATCTTATTCTCGTGCCACATCCAATCTTATGCAGTCACCTCGCGATCTGTACGTGTGTGTGTGCGCGGGCGCGCGCGCGCGCTGTGATCAAAGCATTATCTGCCATGTTTCTGATCTTCGCGAATGATCATTTGGAGGGATAGCAAAACAAAAATCCTATCTGGAAATATACAGAAACGTTTCGATTGATAATCCCTATTTATATTTCCTTATTGNCCCTATTTATATTTCCTTATTGGTGTTGATACAGCCACCAAAAACCGATGGTCAAAGTACGTTACCTGGTCAGTGGAATGTTCCGCATGCGACAAGTAAATTGTTAAGGTGTTTGGAAATACATATCTCAAAGATGTATCCTATGTACTGATCCTTTTACCATGTCGATCAGAAAGAATTGCGGCTCTTAGAGTTATGCAAGTCTTCCTCTCCGAAAACTGTCGAAGGAAGGGGTTTGTATGGTCTTCCACTTTATTTCATCCATATGCAATCAATTCCGGAGTGTTGATTAGGAAAAAACATCTTGAAAACTTCAAAAATGATCTTTCGCATTGGGGTAATTAATTGTTACTGCTTATAATGAGCTGACTTTCGCACGACAGCTGAACAGACGACGAACAACGAAAGCTAGAATGAATTCTTAAGTGGAAAAGAGATCTGCTGCCAATTTATTTTGAAGTTCACATAAAACAAATACCTCACATTTTATTATGACAATTAGTTAAAAGGCTGTTTGACGTTTGTGTACCGAAAATGTATCGCGCAGAGAGTGAATACGAGCAGCAAGGTGGGGAATTCGCTTCGATAAAAGCGCGGGAAACGGGATTAATCCAGGGGAAACGCGATTCGAGGTGTGTGTGTGTGTGTATAAGGGTCCGCGGGAGCCATATGACCATAACTATATCTTTTCCAGCTCAGCAACCGTGGCGTACAGTAATGCACGTACCTGGGGGGTAGGGTGGATATAGTGGTAAATGAAACAATGGGTTTGGTTTACTGACGTCATCGCGCGGATTATCAAACAGTTATGACGTCACGTGTCAACACATATATCGCCCAGATCGTCCTTGATGGTGGAAAAAGAAGTCGACTGACTAGGGTGGCCAGTGCAGTTAAATATACGGCCCAATGGGCACGTGGTTTGAACAGTCTGCACCACACAACGAGACAGTGGCAATAGTCTCACTTCCACCGACCGATTCACTGCCGTTTTCATGCAAGATA